GTTATCATTTGTGTGATATTTTTAATGCCATTTTAGACTCTGGGTTTTATCCAGACAAATGGACGGAGGGTATAATTGTGCCCGTATATAAAAAAGGCGATCCGAAATTAGTTAACAATTATAGGGGAATAACTTTAGTCAGCTGTATGTCCAAGCTTTTTACTTCTATATTAACTAATAGAGTTGAAATATTTTGTGATAAATATTCGGTTATTTCCGATTGCCAATTTGGCTTTAGAAAGGGGAGATCAACTGTTGATGCAATTTTTATTCTACATTCTTTAATACAACATTATTTAAATGATAATAAACGTTTATATGTAGGGTTTATTGATTTGAAATCTTGTTTTGATAGTATTTGTAGAAATTCATTATGGATGAAACTGTATAAATGTGGTGTACAAGGAAAAATATTACGAATCATTAAAAATATGTATGACAAAGTTAAATCATGTGTAAGATGTTGTAACACATATTCAGATTTTTTCCAGTATGCTGTTGGCCTACGTCAAGGGGAGGTAACTTCGCCATTAATGTTCTCCCTATTCGTAGAAGACCTTGAATTATATTTACAAGATAACTTAAACTCAGGATTATTGATTGATGATATTGTTTTGATTTTATTGCTTTTTGCTGACGATATGGCCATTGTAGGTAAAACTCCTGAAGATTTACAAAACAGTTTAGATCTTTTGTATTCATATTGTTTTAAATGGGGATTAGAGGTCAATACCATGAAAACTAAAATTGTTGTTTTTAGAAAAAGAGGGCGTATTTTTATCAACGAAAAATGGACGTATAACGGTCAGCCAATAGAAGTAGTAGATCACTTTAACTACCTAGGTACAGTGTTCAGCTATACAGGCAATTTTTCTCTTAACAATGAACATTTAACCGGTAAAGCTTTAAAAGCAATGAACACATTATTGATAAATTGTAAAGACATGGATTTAAAACCCAAATTATTATGTCAATTATTTGATTCTTTTGTAGGCTCAATCATATCATATGCATCAGAAATATGGGGTTATAGCAAATCAAAAGATATTGAGCGTATTCACTTGAAATTTTGCAAAAGAATTTTAAATGTTAGAGCCAATACAAGCAATGTCAGTATATACGGCGAACTCGGCCGCTATCCATTGTATATAAATAGATATGTAAGAATAATTAAATTTTGGTGCAAATTGATAAATACTGACAACATAATTTTACGGAAAATATATGAATTAAGTTTATCTGATTGTTACAAAGGTAAAAAGAACTGGGTGTCAAATGTCAAAGAAATGCTAAATATGTATGGTTTATCCGAATACTTTTTTTGAAAATAATATTGTAGAGATAGTAAATCATTTCCAAAATTATTTAAACAAAGAATTATTGATAATTATATACAAACATGGCATTCATCTTTAGAAAATAATTCTGTTTTAGAACTGTATAAAAATTGTAAAGAATTATTTTCATACGAAAACTACCTTAACATATTGCCTAAGAATCTTAGATTTTACATCACAAGAATTAGAATGTCTGCACATACACTAAGGGTACAAACGGGTAGATATGGGCAAAATAGAATCCCAAGGAGTGAAAGATATTGTTTATTTTGTAATACTATGGATTTGGAAGATGAATACCATTTTGTTTTGATATGCCCATGCTATGTAGACATAAGGAAAAAATATGTGAAACAATATTATTACAAAAGACCATCAATGTGTAAATTTATTGAGCTGATTTCTTCTAATAATAAAATTATACTAATGAATCTAGCTAAATATCTGAGAGAATCGATTAAAATCAGGAACACTTTTGTTAGTACTAACACTTAAATTCTATATTTGTTACAAATTTATACTCAAATTTCAATTGATTTGTTGTATCAAATATGTTTATACTCTGCTTAGGAAATTATATTATAAGTGATGATAATAACCTCTTAATTTTTAATCCAGAATTTGTTCATTCTCCAACTTTACATGGAATTCAATATTATATATTAAATCCTTTATTGTTTGTTAAATAGAAACGTGACATATTTACAATGTGTGTATTTATATTGCAGTGATGATGTACTATGTACAAATCCTAAATAAAATTATGTTCTGTTCTGTTGTTGTCATGATATCTATCTATAGCCTATGCCTAAGGTGATCCCGCTTTGTCAGCCATGTTTGTTTTCACTAAAGTCTGTTCAAAGTGAAAGTTGGCCAAATTCATATAAGAACTTAATTATTGTAAAATGATGAACCATTTGAAAGTACACTTCCAGGTTTATATTTTAAGGACAATTATAAACAAAAATAAAAATGATAACAATAAGAATATTTACCTTGACTGTGCTACATTTACTGAAGACCAAAAACATTCTGTTGTTTTATGCACATTTCATGAATGGCAAAATCCTTTTTAAAGAGTCTCGCTACGGACCCCTCGATCATATATATATCACCAGTCATACCACTTACATATTTTGTACAAAGTGGTAGGCTGTTCCAAACACGCGAATGAAATGTAACGTTATATACTAAAGTTAAATTATTTCAAAACAACTTATATATCAACATATTATTATTAAACATTTTATTTCATAAATATAAATTACGAATAATTATCAAAAGCAAAATTGTTAAAATCTTTCGCCTGAAATCTAGTTTATATTGACAAATTCAATCACTTATAGTATACTTGATATGCTGTGTGTAAATGTATTTCAAAATGTAACAAATTATAATTTCATGTACTACTAAAAAGGGAAATAACAAATTTATAACCGAAAGTACATCTATAGCTATTTATTGCTTTCGAATTTATGTAACAGCAGAACTGCTTTCCGGTTCTCATTCATTAATATGACATGCTGCGAATCACCGACGGGGAAACCAATATAGAAATTGAAAGGAGTTCTTGAATGCGGATTTACTTTTAGCTGTTAATCGAAAGGATTTATTGCTCAAATCCGGATCCATGGACAAAAAAAAATAGTAAACACAAATAGCTCCGCGCCTGTGGGCGCGGAGCAATGATAACAAAATAGCGTCAAAAAACTTCAATGAGGGATGCTTAAATGGACTCGCCCAACCGCCATGTTTTGTCTATTCGTACAACTGAAAGATACCATTATCAATGTACGAACTCAGTACCAGTCTTAAGTCTCTTGCAGGATAAACACAGCAAATTGCAATATTTTTTGCTACATGCCATTTCTGATAAGAAAATGCAGTGTTAATAACAGTATATTTTGTTTTCTTTCCAAAAGTGCCACTTAAAGAAAAAAAACTTCTTAAAAATGCTTTTTCCCGGGCAAGTTTGATACTAGGAGTGTTTTTATTGCATCACGCAGGTCATTTATAGTCCGTTTCAAAAAAAAATCGCACAGCAGCATAAATTCCATTAATAGAATGTTCACATACATAATTTTTAATGCTGTACGTTGGTAATTACGCAAGAAGCTTAATATTTTTCACATTGATGCACTGATTGAGGAGTTACTGTCGAACTAATTGTACTACGCGTTTAGTTACTGTAATTGTAATATTTTTCTTATGGGCGATATCATTCTGACTCAGAACAAAAAAAATATCACAGAATATAACTCAGCACGTCTAGAACGAATTGGTAGAGTAAATCAAGTATTTTTGTTGGCTTTATGTGTTGACCACACACAATAAAGGTATTTGGAAAGAAATGAAAAAATATATCTATATTCATTGCTGAACAGCGATTCCTAGCATTTTTGGAAATGCTAATACTTGTTTATTTCTTACATTTGTATCTTCTATAGGAAATAACTTATTTTTTGTATTACACAGTGGGTTATGTATGTATTTTATTGTTGTAGCTATAAATAGAGGACCTTAACAGTGAAAAACTTTGTATGTATGTATGTAGTTAATGCTTAATGAGGGTCCATCGAAAACTTTGAAAGTCCGAAAATCTATTTATAGAAGGAGTCTTCGTCTAAACGAAACGGTCATTCGTGTCGCGATATGGCAATAAATAACGAACTGGAGAACTTTTTCAGGAAATGAAAACATAGTCAACAATTGATTGCAGTCTTTATAGTTTTATCGAAAAAAATAAGTAAGTCATTTTTACGAATTTTTATATCATTTTGAAATTGTCTTTTCCGTGGATTCTTTCCGGTAAACAAATAGCTCTTTTTTCCGGCTTCGTTGCACTACTGATATTTTTAACGTGAATATTTCAATCGACCCTGATTTCCCAAATTTTTGCTGTATGAATTTTATTCTATTTTGTTTGAAGGCAATTGCTTTTATGGTTGTTTGAATTGAATGTTGATTTGCCGAATAATTTGACATTTTAATAACAGAAATTTTCGTCTGCAGTTTGAACATGGGGTGTTATGGGTTTATTCACAGAGGATTTTGAAGCAATTCAACAAAATAGTAGATTGATACATATGGGGTTCCACCCCCATAATTTTTGTTGACATATGAGTAAACATTGACAATGTTTTATTATGTAATGCTTTGCTTTAAAATATCAGCGGTTGTAAAAAGTATACAGTTTTTTTTGCAATTTTTTATTTGTGTATCGAAAAGGCTTAACCAGTTTGTTGAAATTGATTTTCCACGCGAGAAACGACTGTGCAAACGGCGTTGCATTCATTGTGTTTATTAATGTATAGAGGGGTATATTTGTCGTTATTTCTTAATTATTTGCATTTGCTTATATATTTCAATTATTGATAAAATGTCAAGCTACTATGATCCGACGAACACAAAAACAATTTGGTGTGGTCTTATAATACGTTAAACTTAGGCCATATGGCGCCAATTAAGATAACGCAGGGATAAACGACGGCTGCTATATTCTGATGCATCAACCCTTAAAGGCAATCCTTCAGTCACAAGGGGAAAATCACATATCCAAAAATCGATCTTTTTGTTCACACTACTTTCCTAGTACAGAAAAGGGTATTCATACTATTATTTTAAGGATTACATGCAAAACATTTATTTTTCAAAGATATTTTACAGATTTATTCAGTGATGCTTGGTTCAGCAATCAAACAAATGCACTTCAATCGATAATTTTCGTTCACACTACTTTTCTTTTTTTAGAAAGTTGAATATTATACATTTGAATATGATCAACATCCATGGATTAATTATATCATTGAACTTATGTGCAGAAAATGGCAAAACAATTTCTTGTGAAAATTAAGTTAAACATCATAAAATAGAAAAAATGGAATGCCTAAAGAACGACCAAAAACGACAGAATTAAAAATGTTGTAGGTTCGGTTTGATTGATCCTGTTCAGGCCTCTAGCACCACTTTAAGTATAATTCAACAGTTAAACATGGAAATTTTGACAGATCTAAAAAGCAATCAAACCAATAAATATGGAAAGCAACTTTGAAAAATGTGGAATCAAATCTCTGTCAGTGTATACTTGATGTTATATATGTGATACCTAAATCACAAGTAAAATATTTTCTTACGTCTCTTATAAAACAGAAACAAATACGTATTTCAGCATAACAAAAATTGTCTTCTTTATTAATCACGGTTATAGATTTTAAAATCAATTTTGAGTCGTTTGTGAGACTGAAATTACAGATATTGTTATTGTTTCTTTCTTCGGTCCATTGGCAACACTAAAACGCCTTTTAAAAAGAACAATTGTGAGAAAAACAGCAGAAGTCGCTATGATTGCACTGATTGTCAGAACAACGATACCATAAGAACCGGAACTGTCTCTGATGCTACCTGGAGAACGTAAAAGAATTATATGAATATAAGAATGAACATTTAGGTAAATTATTAAAACTGCCTAAAATATAAAAGGACTGCAATAAATATTACCAATAAATTCAGAATAATATTTTAGATATTAATCTAGATCATGGGATCGATTATTCAGGTGACGTTTATTCTAAAATTGAAAACAAATATTACAGTTATGGCGAGTCATACACCAACTAGCAACCTTAACTTTTGTAACAATAGCCACCACTGGGCTGCGACAACGCTCGACTTTTTTACTTTTTCTAAAAGCAAATAAATAAACGGTCTGAACAAAATTTTAAAAAGAAAATTTAAGACAAAAATTATGTTTTTATTTTTTTATTTTAATAGGTCTGTCAAGTCACATTTCTTGTTTTGTCCAAGCATGAATCATTTCCATTAAAAAAAGAGAAGTTAAGAAAATATAAGCAGAATTCAATCATTTCACGGTCAAAGTCATTTAAAGGTCAAGGTCATATCTAAATTATTCAACATGTTTGTTTGGTCCCTAGTGTTGTTTTGTGCACGTACAAATCAAGTTTGTACAGAGTTGTTGTGACTAAGTATGAAAACAATACGCTAAGAACTTAAAACGTTATGATCAAGGTTAAAGTTTGCGGACGGCAGCAGTAACGCGCCATGACTGTAACAATACGGGGGTCCAAAAATAGTCCTAACCCGGGTCGTCATATAAGCTTGCTATATAGCAAGTTTAATTACAATATCTCATTCCTAACTAAGTGTATTGTTATTGTCCGGAAACAATTTTCTCTATTTTGAGTAATAGTGGCCTTTACCCCAGGGATCTAAAACCAATCCGTACTGGGGTTTTCAAGAGTTGAGTTTGCTAAGTACCAAATCTGATGACAATATTTCGTTCCTAACTCTAGTTATCGTCCGGAAAGTATAAAGTGGACCGACCGACCGACCGACCGACCAAGAAGCTGACTCCTATATACCCCCATAATTTCGTTTGTAGGGGTAGAAAGTAAAGTTATTTTGAAATTTACCAGAACAGTCATCGTTTACTTATGGAGCATAATGTCACTTCAAAACATTACAATCTTATTTTAAGTTTAGTTGCTATTCAAAAGTAACAAACAAATAAAACCAAAAATTAAAGTAATACGTACAATTATATTTAAAACAATATATTTTGATATATACAATGACATTAGTATTTTTGATATCAGAGTCTTCTAATTCGGAATTAAGTTAAATTTAAAACATTTAAGTAAAGATCGATATGTTATCATTGATGCATCACTAATAATGAAATAATATCAGTTTTCGTCAAAACTGTTCATTCCTTCATACTAACAAAGTGAATGAAAAAGGAAAAATGGATCAGAATGTAATGAATGTCCCAGTCTTACCGAATAGAGGCCCAATTCCAAAATTCAATACACCCGCTGATGTAATCAGCAATCCAGAACCGATTGGAACAAAATCTATGCTGACAACTTTCAACACAAGAATATGCTGAGATGAAAGAATTCCACCTATTGCTAAACCTGACAAACAAACGGATAAAGCAAAAAAAGCATAGCTGCTTCCTATATAAAGAATCAACTGTCCAATAAAACCAATGATAGCTGAAATGATTGGAATAAGAAAGGGATTAACACTGTCTATCTGTCCTACCAAGCCTGGAATTAGTCTTGAAATTGTGCTTGCAACATTGTAAATAACAAGTGCGAAAATTCCAAACCAAGTATTGCTACTGAATCCCTTCCATTCACTTATATCGAGAATTAATGCAGCAAATCCATTTATAAAAGAAATTGGTAGGACAATTCCAAAAAGAAGCAAAACATGAACAAAAGTGACATTTTCTCTAAACTTGTTTTTCGTGTTCGCACATCCATTTGAAGTTTCTTTGTCTTCCTCACATTTGGGCGTCAGTGATTGTTTATCTATTGAAGTTTTGTTTGCCCAGATCATTACTAACATTGGAAATTTGTTACAGTAAACAGCTCCAAGTATAAGGAATGAGCCGTTGAGTCCGTACTGAACAAGTAGCCAGTCAATAAAGTATGGATAGACTAGACCAGATAATGATGAAGATGCCATTAGGAGGGAAATGCATAGGTCTCTCTTCTTGCCGATAAAGATTCTGCCAATTAACAAAATCAAACTGACATATGATAATGAAATTCCAATACCTGAAAAGAAAGTTAAAAAAGTTAAAAAAATTCTTGTAAATACGCAAAACATTCGTTTAAAAGAATTTTTTTTTCAGTAAATATGCATTTCTCAAATTGCCATTTATTCATGCATGAAGTGCATATTGTATATTCCTTCAATGTTGGTAGTAACCATCTATATTACAAGAATAGAAATATAGAGTAACATTTTGCTGATTACATTCGTATCTTTGATAAGGCACTGACATTGTACGGCCTTGAAACTAAAAGATGATTTTATGTACATTAAAAGTTGCTGGATTCGCAAAAGCACCAAACATTGTAAGTGAAATGTTTGTCGACAGTGTTTATAGAATGTATACAAATAAGAAAAATAACTTGAGTGCCCAGTTGCTCTCACACGACCAATATATTGAAAAATCGTTTCTTCGACTAATCCACAATAACACTATTATTTAATAAATGGCGAAATGGCTGAGTGGTTAACGCGTCGGACAAGTAATTTAAGGATTGTTCACCGCATTGGTTGAAACCCTGTCAGGGGCGGGTCGTTGTTTCCTTCAGCAAAGAACTTACATTAATTGCTTAGTATTGGTAGGTTCCAGGAACGGATTCGATAGTGTTTCAGTAAGCTTACAGCTTCCAACATAATCGAATTAAAATAAATTTGTATTTTGATACATGTGTACATGCTGGAAACATAGCCACTTGTTAAACATTTTCATTAAACTTTAAGACACTAATAAAATATACATTTATATAATATAATCAAATTTCATCAAATACTTATATATAATATATTCGGCATAAATTTAAGAATCCCTGAAATCTAAAATATATGAAAACATGCGTATAAATAATTTCGACATTTGTTGTGAAAAGAAGCCATTTTTCTTGTTCATGCAATATTATAATGTCATAAAACGCAATACATAGTGTACAGAGTAAATAAAATTGTTATTTGAACTTAAATGAGCTCCACTGAGGTCTATAGAATTTGAAATTCTTACATAGATTACATTGTGTGTTAAGGTAAGACAAACTGCAAAAGAATAAAAATGTAATAAAGGAATATTCTCAGAATTAATTTGTAAATCTATGTTTTTGTGATTTTAGTCCAATTTTACTTAAAAGCAATTCATTGATCTTTAATTTTGCACACATGTTATTAATCTAGGCAAACATGTACATTAACGTTCCAAATATCCCCCGAAAAAATAATTTCAACCCCTTCATGTCAAGAAACCTGAATTGAGTTCCTCTTAAGGGTAATTATATCAATGTAACTTTGTCTGTTAAAAATGTCTCAATTGAGAATAATTCCAGGTTTGTACAGTTTCAATCAGTACTTCTTTGAGATTATTAAACAAAAAACAATGAAATACCTGCTGTAATACCAATGGATACGTATAAATGTTCAATTCTTGTAGCAAAGAAGGATGCAATAAATCCAACAGGAACGAGTATACAGGATATAGATATTACCCAACGTATGCCTATTTTAGTGACAAGGACTCCACTCAAAACACCTGAAATGACATAAAACGATAGGTTTATAGCTATCCGTCTCTCGATCCGAATCTCTCCACCTTTCAGTAATATAAGAGTACTATCATTGGTTCGACCATAGGGCGAGGCAAAAATATTTTTCGTAATAATTGATCTTATAGACATTTGTTTATCATCGCCATTTGAGAAACATGTAGGATATATAGTCAGCCACTTGCGGAACAATGAATTATTACTGGTAAGTCATCATGAAATGACAAGGCAAGCTAATTGGCAAAAAGTTCTAACGTTTCTTTCTAAAAAAGAAGTTAAAAAGCTATTTGCACTATAAAACAAGCAATTATCATAGTACTGCAAGCAATACGAAAGTCCACTGCCGGTTAGAACCGCAACCATTTTCTGAAGGGCCGTCGCCATTCAATTGTGCCATTGTGAAAGACATGAATGAACATATTTTTTGAATTCTTAGTTTGTATGTATCATAGTAATGTGTAAAGTTTTCCTGTCTGGTTAGGAAATTATGTTTAGACAACAGATAATCAAATGATCCAATTTTCTCAGGATAGATGTACAGCTTATATTTCACATGTTTTCTCTATTTTTTTGTACATTTACTGGAAAAGTTCCAAATTCTTTAAAAGTGATCTCAGAAAACAGTTTCATTGGGGGACGACCAGAAAACGGACTGACAGACACTCTGACGATAAATCTTTAAACATCCCTGATTATTATCTTAATATTCTTTAACTAAAGAGAATAAAAACACTTGAAATAAAAAATGCTAGACTTAAAAGAACAATTATCTTAATTATCTTAAGTTTAATTTACAGAAACAAAGAAGAAAAGTGAAAAATCACAATTTTGAAATATATCATTTATAGTTATAAGGAAGAAAATATAAAAAATGTGGTACAATTTTCAAAACAAAAAAAATCAATGAAACTCAGGCGCTAGACTTATAAATCTAATCACATATGAAGTAGGTGTTGATAATGAACATATATTTCGAATTTAAAGTAAATCTATGGAATAATAAGAAAATTAAAAATAAATAAGAAAAAATCAAAGTATAAGGAGAAGTTAAATCTTAGAATATGAACGCTAGTCATACTAGGAACTCAACTGAGGTCTAAAATCCTGAAAATATAAAATTTTAATTTCTTTCATAGACCAGTAGGGGTTCTTAAAACAGTAAAATATTCAAACGATTAGTAAGTAATATTTTCAGAAATAATTGTATATTTTGTGCTGTTCTTAGCCAGATTAGTGTAAAAAGCGTTGTAACGTTTTTCAATTTTGGCTATTTTTTACAATGAGAATATTTATTCTGGAAAAACTGAGTGAATGATCTGAAATTTTGCACACATATTATTGGTCTAGACCTTCATCAGAGGGAATATTTATCTGGAAAAAGATATGTCTAGCCCTGTCATGTCATAAAAAAACTCACGGGAGTCCCTTTAAGGTGTGGGAATTTAAGGTAAATCTTTTAAGAAATGAAAAGGTTGGATTAAAAAATAATAATTTCTAGAAAAATTTCTTTGTTCAATGGGGACATAATTCTTGTAGTCAAGGTAGAATATTGAATCGTCTTATTCATGATTTGTATGATAACAACAAACATATATCACATATATTTGAAGTTTGAAATAGATACATTAAGAAATAGAGAAGTTATAAAAAATATTTTTTCATGAAAATTTTTAACTTAAAATGGGAGAGGGATTCTAATAATATTGAGTTGTGAGCCTTCCCACATATGATGTGGTGGATGATCAAAAACACATATTTGAAGTTTGAAGCAAATAAAGAACTTGTAGTAGATTAAACGGTGTAAAAACTTTAATCAGAAATCTAGACGCGATCGCGGTCGCTGCGTGAGTATGACAACTCTCAATAAACCCTCTAAAGTCGAGCTAAAATGATGTGCTTAAAATGAAGTGCCTTATCTCCATACTGCCATTTATTCATTTTACAATTTTCATTAAAATACATGTATTTCAGTACTTATTGCTTTATCACAAATATTGTAATATTTGGAATAGTTTAAGTCTGTTTGTTGCCATAGCAGCCAAATATTTCAACATAAGAAAAAAATGTACATAATCTCCAGATTGCCATCTACCTATATTTCAAGTTTCATTAAAATGTTTTCAGTACATTTTGTGTCATCACGGGATTCAGTTTTTGTGTAAAATTTGCCAGATTTTTAGTCTATTTGTTGCCATAACAACAAAAATTTTCAACATAAAAAGAAAAAAAAAACGGTACAATATCTTCAGACTGCAATTTACCCAAATATCAAGTTTCATAAAACTATTTCAGTGTTTTTTGCATTATCACGGGATTCAGTTTTGTGGACGGACAGACTTGCTGACGAACGAAGTGTAAACCTTAAGTCCCATCCGGTTAAATCGGTAAGGCACTAATAAAATGACCATAGAAAAATTAATCAAAATAAGGTAACTGACCTCAATCAGCTTAAAAATAAGTTTGCTAAGGCAAATAAACCAGTTATTACCCAAACTCAAAGTAAATCCACCAAGAAGTGATTGTACAGCTACAGTTTTAGCCCGGCCACTTTGAAATATGTCCAAAAGTGTAATGTAGAAAACCCCAAATTGAAACACTATGCCGACTTCGAAGAAAACATTCATTACACAGAGAACGAATAGCAAGGTCCTGGTGGTACTGGAAAAAACACCAATTATTATTTGTAGGATGCAATGAATAGTTCTTGTTTTATGTACATGCTTTTAATATTCATAGTGAAAATGATTACAATGAAATGTTAAATTTTATGGAAATGACTGAATGAATGATATTGAAAAGAGGCAGGTCTGTTTGTTTTGTTGTTAAAACGGATTCTGTAACATTTACACAGAACAGTTTATTTGAAGATATAATATCGAATGTTCGTAGACTTTATAAAGAAGCAACAACAAAAATGGTACAATGGTATCAATTACAAAAGTGGTTGATCAAGGTCGACCAAAGATAAGAAATACTAATGAAATTTCTCCTAAAAATCAAATGATTTTCGCGAAGGACGCACCCCCAGGCGGCGAACAGAAACTTAAACGTAAATACTTAAACAATCATATTCATACAAATAACACCAAAGAAAATTGTACCCAGGTATATTATGTCGGTCTTGTTATCACGTTTTGATTTTAATGTAAAGACAAAAAAAAATAACTAAAAAGCAACCGACTTACACCAAAAGATAAAGTAGGACGACTATAAATCGATTGTTATTTTATAGGTGATCTGTTATTTAGAATATAATGCACCAAAATTTGCTTTTTGTGACAGAATTTGAGTTTAGACAAGGAGGAAGTTCAACAAATATCTATCTTATAGAACTTCAACAGAATAAAACGAATTCTTGAAGTTTTAGCACATCATCTTTGAATATATTACAGTCGATAACAATACTATTTACACGAATATCTGCGATAAGAGATATGACTTTAGTTTTGGTATTATCCACATTTAGATGGAAACGGTTTTCTACATGCTACATCTTATCGGGTTAATAAGGTTCTAGAGCTTGTAGCCACATAAATAACTAATAATACCGCTATCATAAATTAAGGAAATATGCTACTAAATCTTATTATCATCGCTTAGATTCAATTTCAAAATTCAATAGCGATTTAAATTGCGGTAGGGATTAGCAAGTCTGATTTTTTATGGAGATTTTAATGTGATTTACAAACTTCATACGATCTTGGGTCATGATAATTTATTTGCAGTCTTTGCTAAAATAGTTAAACGTTTTATTAAAATAGGATTTTATGACCCTACTTTTTAAGGCATTCTTACGGTGGCACAGATGTGACATGTGTGTGTTTTTATTTATCTCGTGCGCATGAGATACTATGTCGTGGCCAGAAGTTACTAAGTCATGCGCAAGAGATAATTAAGTGGTGCTCACGAGATATTATATCTCGGCCACGAGTTTCTAGGTCGTTCGCACGAGATTATCATTTCCCTGCAATATTAAGACGAATTATTAAATTGCAAGTTACAAAGCCTAAACCACGCCTACTACCAGAGAGGCGGTATTCTCTCAATCGTAAGAAAGTGCGATTGACTCACATAACCGTGAGGCAAATATGCATTCTTGTGTTTAATCAAGTAGCTTAATCTTTTAGAAATAGGAAACAATATGTAACTAAGAAATGATTATATTTAACAATTTATTCATAACTATTTCTTGATATTACAGACATATTTTTGCTATTTGTAAAATAACAGAACAGTTCGTCCTCAAGTCATTCGAACATAATGCGATTCGCACCAATATTTAAATGGACATATTCGGAGGTATTTTTTTAACATCTGTCTTTGTCTTTAATTATTTTAAGTATGCCAATCATTTCAATTTCACTTGTTATCCAATTTATTTTGTTTCGACAAAACCTTTCAATCTCAACAGACAAACATTTCAGAATTTCAGACAAGGCATAACTTTGGGAATTTATGCATAAGGTTTTACTTTTTTACAAAAATATGCAACTCAATTATTAAACAACGAGCACATACCAAGAAAATGGAGATAAAATTGACTAGTGCTTCGGATATTCAACTGTAATAGAGAACGATTTTCAAGGCTGCTTTTGTTCATAACCTTTGACTGTTCACATCAATTGGCTGTGTCTTTGATGTGCAGCATCAACATTTAACTGGTATGAATCTGATATAAGTACTGCTTGGTGTTTAATGATTAAATAAAAAAGTGTAATACGATAATTGTGTTTAGCTGTTTATTACTTTATATGTATAATTACCTGTCTTTCATTTCCATATTCCTTTATCGGCGATATATAAATACCAATTCCTGTAATACAAAACATTTTAAACAGACTTTTATTTAATTTTACGGATGTGTTACGGATATAATAGGTATATATTTATTTATATTATAATTGACTTCGAACGAAAGTTAAATAAATCACATGGTGAAAGGAAATACCTGTAAATATCCATCCGAATTTACCTGTAATATTCCATTTATAAAAGGAGTGGGAAGTCTTTTTATATGTTATGCAGATTAATATTTCATAAACATTTTCTAATATGATTTTTTTGCCAACCACTTTTATATCAGTCAGTCTTTAAAAATATTATGTCAATTCAGCTCAACTCGACAATAAAAACATGAGCATAATGTCACTGTCACTTTAAATGAATCAATACCAGCTAATGCTGTCGTAAGCTATCTTACTTTTACCTTGTGGAGAAAGTAATGCTGATTCAAGATTTAAGGTTGTTGTTTTTTCACCGGATGGTGTACCTTTTGATTTAAGCAGTTGTTTATAAGATAATAGATTTTTCATTTAATAAATTATCTTTGTTTATATTACTTATTTTATTTCTTATTTATCTTTTTATTATATTTTTTTTAAATTTTTTTTTTATTATTTATTTTTATTTTTGCTACTTGGAACGTTTGTTTACCCTGCCCCATTGGAACCTCAGTGAAAAACCACACTTATTCATACAAGATGCGAAAAAAAAACTCAACTGCTATATAATGAATAATGTTTTTTAAACAAAAGGCAAATGCCTGTGAGCTATATATTTGTTGAGTTTTTTTTCCTATATGAATCAATGAAAAAAACTGCACTGTTATATATCAAAACTGTTTTCAAATGCTCATTGAAAGTGTACTGCGTATAATGGGACAAAGAAAAAGTTCCTACATGCGATAATCACGACTAGAGTTGGTACTGATCACTCCTGTTTTATTAGAATTCCGCCAGCAGTTTGACCTTTGAAAGCGGACAAGCTTTTATTATCTATAGCTCTGGCGACCATTTTTTGTGCAGCGAAGCAGAACGTGCTGGCGATATGCACAACAAGGTATGGTACTAATCACTCCTATGAAGTAATGTCGAAATCTTGCCAGCAGTTTGACCTGTAAAAGCCGGACAGACAAGTGTTTTCTATTTATAGCTCTAACTGTCATTTTGTGCATGGTATGGTACTGATCACTCCTGTGAAGTTTCACAGACATCCCGCCATCAATTTGATCTATGAATGCTGGTCAAGATTTTCCTATTTATAGCTCTGTCGGCCATTTTGAGGAGCGAAGGTACTGACCACTCCTGTAAAGTTTGGTTGAAATCCCACCAGCACTTTGACCTGTGAAAGCCGGACAAGCTGAATGCGGACAGACAGACGGCAAAGGCAAAAACAATATGTCTCCCAAAAGAGTTTGGGAGACATACTTACTATTAATTGAGAAACTATTATTCCAAAAATCAAATAACTTATTCTTTGGTGAAACACTTCAATGTACGCTACAAACTTAACGAATGATAACATTCTTGCCGGATAAAAAGTACTAAATTAAGATATGCAAACTTTCACGATCTTTATGAAAAAAATGTGTGTGACTAGTCATTAATTTCACTTCGATATATTTTAGGGAGTCAAATGTGTCTTATCATTAATTTCACGGATATATATGTATATCATAGTCAGATAAAATCATTTATGTCGTTGTTACTATTTTCGGCTATTTAATCTATGGCGGCCATTTCGGTTATAAACTCAATATTCGTTTTGTGTTAAGTTATGCAGTAGAACAAAGGCCAATCAGAGAGAGGTCTTGTTACACATGATCAAATTAAGCCAATCAGGGCACGGCTACTCCATAACAAAGAAAACTCAAAAATCGTCTTTCTCTTTTGGAGAAAAAAATACTAGCTTCTTACATCATTATCGCTTGGATTCATATGGTAAATCTTTCATGTTCAATCATGTTTTAATTGAATTGCTTCAGATCACTGCATCACGGATGCACACTAGAACTCCGCAAGTCGGATGTGTCGCCTTGTGAACAATATAGTTTAGCAGAAATTGCCAGGACAAAAATGAAATTTGAAAATCAACAAAGGGCAATAACTAAAAAAAATAAGAAATGCAGAGCAGCAGTTTCTGTGCAATGCACTTCTTATCAATAAGATCTATCATCTAATTAAGTTTCAAGTCTAAAGCTTTTATAATTTATGAGAAATGGCCTGGACAAAAATAAAGTATGAAAATTAACAAAGGGCAATAACTCAAAAAATAAGAAATGCAGAGTACCAGTTCTTGTGCACTGCACCTCTTCTTAATGAGATATATCATCCTATGAAGTTTCAAGTCCATAGATTTTATACTTTAGGAGAAATGGCCTAGACAAAAATAAAGTATGAAAATTAACAAAGGGAAATAACTCAATAAAAAAGAGGTGCATAGTACCGGTTCTTGTGCACTGCACTTTGGGTCATTATAAGAAGCATGCATACCAAGTTTGAAGTCAATCCGACTTATAATGACTGACTTATGCTCCGGACAAGCTTAAGGGGACGCCGACGCAGACAACGACAACGACACCGACGACGACAACGACACCGACGACAAAAGTAACCCCTATATGTCGCCTTTGTCAAGGCGACACAATAAAAACTGTAATTTCGCTAATTTGTGACTGTGAACAACGAGCTGTGTCAATACAATTGCGGTCTCAATACAGATCATAGGCTATTCCTTGGTGACTCGTTTGAAAAGGTTCATACGTACAAATTCAAGTTTTAAATTTAATTTAATATATAAATATATATATATGATAATATTTAAATATATTATTAAATCCGTTGGTTAAATATTCAGGCTTCCCAGAAGCTTGCTTAAGGACATTACGACAGAACTTATCAGACATTACAGATTTTAACCCCGACATTGTAGTTTTTGTCGTAGATACGAATGACCCTGAGGCAGACCCAATGCCAGAAACAACCTCAATATTAGACCTCATAGACAGTTTGTTTTTTCATCATTAAAATATATGTATATGTTTTCTTTCCTACCTTCAGATAGTAAGCAAGACTACAGGATATTTATTGAGTAATTACGATATACATGTTGTGTTGCTTCATATAAACTAAAAGGTGACGTTGTTGATAATTAATTTACGGTAATAATGTTTTATATATTTGTTTCTATTTTCTGTGTGTTTTGGACAAACTAAAAGAAAATACTATTCATTTTCGACCATTCGCATATGACAATTTGTGCAAATCCTATTTTGTCTAGGTGTATGTAAGTATCGACCAGTTTCTATTTTTAACATGTTGTGATAAGGTTCTTAGACTGCATAAGGTTATTCTAAATTTGGCTTATAAAAGTTCATTTAAATATGTTTCTACCACGAAATGATGTTTAAATAGACTATAAGAACTCAGTTTAGGCGTGTTTTGGTTTTTCAACATTTCTCTAACGTTATATTCCCAGTTATTTCCATATAGTATAGATTATTTTCAGTATGAGTTCGAAACATATTGACCATTAATTAACCTTATCATATGGTTATTGGGTGATTTCATTTACTAAATATAGAAAGGTTAACGTAAGAACATTTTTATATACTGTATTAAAACTCCGCTTATAACGAACTCACTGGGACATTCAAAACCTGTTCTTTATATCCGGAGTCCTTTAAGCATATAGCGAATTAGTTCCTTGTATCAGGAGTTTTTATAGCGAACAGATTTACATATAACGAACTGATTGTTTACCATTGTCCGCCATTTTTGAAGAGCATTTGATTAAGAAATAGAAATATTAGTCATTTATTTATATTTTAGACACAATACCCGAGAGCGTACTTTTTGGAATTTGAAAATCATTGCTATTTCAGTTTTAGTTTTACTCCCTATCTCAATTTCACATAAAATATAATATTTTGTTTCTAAACTCTTTTCGTTTTCTTTCCATGATTGAGAATAAACAAGATTTTCGATTTTTCCTTCCTTTTATATTGAATATCTTCTATTATAATTTAAGGGTGACTTTTACTTATGTAAGATATAGATTTCTTTTCATTTAAATCAAGCGTACTTTGCAGTTTGCAATGGCATTATGTTGAAAACCGATTATAGATTATTATAATTATTTTACTCGAGCAAACTATTGAAGAAAATAAATAAATAACCGTTTTATTTTGGTGAAAAGAGCTCATGCTAAAAATATCCTAAATAGCAAACTATACAAATTCATTTGAATAGATGTATTGAAGTACATACAATGATAAACGGTACATTCGCCCGAATTTTAATCCGTGCGAATGAAAACGAAAGTTGAAAATGCGGGATCTATTTACGGATAGCCAATATTTTGGAGTTCGTTATAAAAGTGTAATTTTCTGTACTATTAACTAAATTGGGACTAAGAAATGAGTTCCTTATAAGCGATAATCCCTTATAACCGTGTTCGCTATAACCATATGTTTTATATTAAATAAAGAAGGGCAAAATTCGGGCCAAAATAAATTGTTCCCTATAACCGGAAGTTCGCTATAACCGTGTTCGCTATAAGTGAAGTTTACTGTAATACTTAATATGGAAAGAAGGAATAAAAAATTGTAATGGAATTCCAAAAACGACAGCTTACGGCTTACCGTTCACTGCCTGCTGCATGCTTATTGATACTGCCTAGATTGTATTTTTAAATGGTTCTACGTGCATCATTGCACATATAATTAATCAAATATATGTTAATTAACTTAAAAATAGATTATACAAAAAACTGTACTCAAGTATCGTCCCACATTGACTTTGTTTGAAATATCCTATCTTTAAACACACTGTAATCTAATACCAAAAAAATATTAATCTCTGATTTAACACGATATTTTTACAATTTTAAGTAGTATTGTAGCGAAAAGTCAAAGTATGCAAAGGAGTTACACTATTGCTATTTGTTAAAAAATGGGAACAACGATCGATAAGGCAAAGGCGACCTTCACAGAACACAGCACCCGAAACAATCCAGCCACACCAGCAAGGCACCCTAAAGGCACATGTTGACATTTTGAATTTCCACGCATAAAATTAGATAAAATTTGTATCGAGTTTGCAAAAGGCGTTGCATTCCGTGTGTTTATTAATATATAGATGGGTATATTTGTCGTTATTTCTTAATTATGTGCTTATATATTTCAATTTTGGATAGGATGTCAAGCTCCTGTGATCCGACGAACAAGAAAACAATTTGGTGTGGTCTTATAATACGTTAAACTTAGGCCATATGGCGCCGAAACAAGAACGATGGTTTTGGCTTTTTTTTCTAGTTTTCTTGCAAGTAACCGTTCAGGCCCCTAGCACCAGCTTAAGCAGTGTTTAACATTTAAACATGAAAATGGTAAAATTTTAACAAATTAAAAAAAGCAGCCAAAACCATATGTATGTAAGCTTTAAAATGTGTTGAATGAAATCTCTGATGTTATATCTGTGATACCTAAATCACAAGTAAAATATTGTCTTACGTCTCTTATAAAACAGAAATAAATACGTACTTCAGAATAACAAAAATTGTCTTATTTATTAATCACTGTTGTAGATTAAAATCAATTTTGAGTCGTTTTTGAGACTGAAATTACAGATATTGTTATTGTTTCTTTCTTCAGTCCATTGGCAACACTAGAACGCCTTTTGAAAAGAACAATTGTGAGAAAAACAGCAGAAGTCGCCAGAAGTGCACTGATTGTCAGAACAACGATACCATAAGAACCGGAACTGTCTCTGATGCTACCTGGAGAACGTAAAAGAATTACATGAATATAAGAATGAACTTTTAGGTAAATTATTAAAACTGCCTAAAATATAAAAGGACTGCAATGAATATTACCAATAAATTCAGAATGATATTTTAGATATTTATCTAGATCATGAGATCGTTTATTCAGGTGACGTTTATTCTAAAATTGAAAACAAATATTACAGTTATGGCGAGTCATACACCCACTAGCAACCTTAACTTTTGTAACAATAGCCACCACCGGGCTGCGACAACGCTCGACTTTTTTATTTTTTTCTAAAAGAAAATAAATAAACGTTTTAAACAAATATTTAAAAAGAAAATTTAAGACAAAAAAAAATGTTTTTTAATATTTTTATATTAATAGGTCCGCCAAGTTACACTTCTTGTTTTGTCTAAGCATGAATCATTTCCATTAAAAATAACAAAGTTAAGGAAATATAAGCAGAATTCAATCATTTGACAGTCAAAGCCATTTAAAGGTCAAAGTCATATCTAAATTATTCAAAATGTTTGTTTGGTCACTAGTGTTATTTTGTGCACGTATATATCAAGTCCGTACATAAATAACAAAATTTTGACAACTTAACACAAATATTGCAGTCAAAGTCATTTAAAGCTAAATGTCACAGTCAGTTCAACCTTTAGAGTAGTTTGTTAAGTGTTTTGTCCAAGTATTAAGATAATCTATTGATTCATTACCGAGTTACAGTCAATGATAAAAAACCCAGAGAATTTTAATAACTTTACTTTCAAGGTCAATGTCATAAATGTGCCAAGGTCAATTTGAGTTGAAAATACAAAAAGTTCTTATCCTAAAGATTATTGGATTATTGTTTCTTTATATGAAGTCAATCCATTCATTACTATCAAAGTTATAACCAGTAACAGCAAAAAATGAACAATTTCAATAATAAGTTTGAAAACAATCCATTCAAAAATAACAAAAATATAGTCACTTATAGCAAATTTAGCAAAAATCAAGCAAAATTTACAAGTAGGCATTTGACATAAAAGGTCAAGGTCATTTATGACGACTTGTCAAGGTTAGTCTAACCTGCTTAAAGGTCTTGTCCCAAGAGTTGTTGTGACTAAGTATAAAGACAATACACTAAGAACTTAAAACGTTATGATCAAGGTTATAATTTGCGGACGGCAGCGGTAATGCGCCATGACTAGCAATACGGGGATCCAAAAACAGTCCTAACCCGGGTTGTCATATAAGCTTGCTATATAGCAAGTTTAATTACAATATCTCATTCCTAACTGTTGTTATTGACCAGAAACAATTTTCTCTATTTTAGTAATAGTGACCTTTACCCCAGGGATCTAACACCAATCCGTACTGGGGTCTTCATGAGTTAATTTGCTAAGTACCAAATCTGATGACAATATTTCGTCCGAAGTATGAATTGGACCGACCGAAAAGCTGACTTCTATATACCCCCATAACTTCGTTTGTAGGGGTAGAATGACACAAAGTAAAGTTATTTTGAAATTTACCAGAACAGTCATCGTTTACCTATGGATTGGCATAATGTCACTTTAAAACATTACAGAGTTTGTTAACAAGCTTATTTCTTAGTTTAGTTGCTTTTCGAAAGTAACAAACAAATAAAACTATTTTAAAGTAATTCGTACAGTTTCATTTAAAACAATTTATTTTGATATATAACAATGCCATAAGTATTTTTGATATCAAAGTCTTCAAATTCGGAATTAAGTTAAATTTAAAACATTTAAGTAAAGATCGATATGTTATCATTGATGCATCACTAATAATGGAATAATATCAGTTTTCGTCAAAACTGTTCATTCCTACATACAATCAAAGTAAATGAAAAAGGAAAAATGGATCAGAATGTAATGAATGTCCCAGTCTTACCGAATAGAGGCCCAATTCCAAAATTCAATACACCCGCTGATGTAATCAGCAATCCAGAACCGATTGGGACAAAATCTATCCTGACAACTTTCAACACAAGAATATGCTGAGATGAAAGAATTCCACCTATTGCTAAACCTGACAAACAAACGGATAAAGCAAACAAAGCATAGCTGCTTCCGACATAAAGAATCAACTGTCCAATAAAACCAATGATAGCTGAAATGATTGGAATAAGAAAGGGATTAACACTGTCTATCTGTCCTACCAAGCCTGGAATGAGTCTTGAAATTGTGCTAGCAACATTGTAAATAACAAGTGCGAAAATTCCACGCCAAGAATTGCTACCGAATCCCTTCCATTCACTTATATCGCCTCTAAACTTGTTTTTCGTGTTCGTACATCCATTTGAAGTTTCTTTGTCTTCCTCACATTTGGGCGTCAGTGATTGTTTATCTATTGAAGTTTTGTTTGCCCAGATAATTACTAACATTGGAAATTTGTTACAGTAAACAGCTCCAAGTATAAGGAATGAGCCGTTGAGTCCGTACTGAACAAGTAGCCAGTCAATAAAGTATGGATAGACTACACCAGATAATGATGAAGATGCCATTAGGAGAGAAATGCATAGATCTCTCTTCTTGCCGATAAAGATTCTGCCAATTAACAAAATCAAACTGACATATGATAATGAAATTCCAATACCTGAAAAGAAAGTTAAAAAAATCTTGTAAATACGCAAAACATTCGTTTAAAAGAAATTATTTTCTTCAGTAAATATGTATTTCTCAAATTGCCAATTATTCATGCATGAAGTGCATATTGTATATTCCTTCAATGTTGGTAGTAACCATCTATATTACAAGAATAGAAATATAGAGTAACATTTTGCTGATTACATTCGAATCTTTGATAAGGCACTGACATTGTGCGGCCTTGAAACTAAAAGATGATTTTATGTACATTAAAAGTTGCTGGATTCGCAAAAGCACCAAACATTGTAAGTGAAATGTTTGTCGACAGTGTTTATAGAATGTATACAAATAAGAAAAATAACTTGAGCGCCCAGTTGCTCTCACACGACCAATAAATTGAAAAATCGTTTCTTCGACTAATCCACAATAACACTATTATTTAATGGCGAAATGGCTGAGTGGTTAACGCGTCGGACAAGTAATTTAAGGATTGTTCACCGCATTGGTTGAAACCCTGTCAGGGGCCAGTCGTTGTTTCCTTCAGCAAAAATAACTTACATTAATTGCTTAGTATTGGTAGGTTCCAGGAACGGATTCGATAGTGTTTCAGTAAGCTTACAGCTTCCAACATAATCGAATTAAAATAAATTTGTATTATGATACATGTGTACATGCTGGATTTATAACCACTTGTTAAATAATTTTATTAAACTTTAAGACAATTATAAAATATACATTTGTATAATATAATCAAATACTTATATATAATATATTCGGCATAAATTTAAGACTCCCTGAAATCTAAAATATATGAAAACATGCGTATCAACTCCTTTATACAAGTTTAAGAATATATCAGCTATGGACTAAGGTAAGAATAATATGAGAAATATTTACTAAATGATCTAATTTCGACATTTGTTGTGAAAAGAAGCCATTTTTCTTGTTCATGCAATATTATAATGTCATAAAACGCAATACATAATGTACAAAGTAAATAAAATTGTTATTTGAACTTAAATGAACTCCACTGAGATCTATAGAATTTGAAATTCTTACATAGATCACATTGTGTGCTAAGGTAAGGCAAACTGCAAAAAAATAAAAATTTAATATAGGAATATTCTCAGTATTAATTTGTAAATCTATGTTTGTGTGATTTTAGTCCAATTTGACTTAAAAGCAATTCATGGATCTTTAATTTTGCACACATGTTATTAATCTTGACAAACATATTCTCAACGTTCCAAATATCCCCCGAAAAAATAATTTCACCCCCTTCATGTCAAGAAACCTTAGTTGAGTTCCTCTTAAGGGTAATAATATCAATGTAACTTTGTATGTTAAAAGATCTCAATTGAGAATAATTCCAAGTTTGTACAGTATCAATCAGTGCTTATTTGAGTTTAATGAGCAAAAAAAACAACAATGCAATACCTGCTGTAATACCAAGGGATACGTATAAATGTTCTATTCTTGTAGCAAAGAAGGATGCAAAAAATCCAACAGGAACGAGTATACAGGATATAGATATTACCCAACGTATGCCTATTTTAGTGACAAGGACTCCACTCAAAACACCTGAAATGACATAAAACGATAGGTTTATAGCTATCCGTCTCTCGATCCGAATCTCTCCACCTTTCAAGAATATAAGAGTATTATCATTGGTTCGACCATAGGGCGAGGCAAAATTATTTCGTAATAATTGATCTTATAGACATTTGTTTATCATCGCCATTTCAGAAACATGTAGGATATATAGTCAGTCACTTGCGGAACAATGAATTATTACTGGTAAGTCATCATGAAATGACAAGGCAAGCAATATGGCAAAAAATTCTAACGTTTCTTTCTCAAAAAGAAGTTAAAAAGCTTTTTGCACTATAAAACAAGCAATTATCATAGTACTGCAAGCAATACGAAAGTCCACTGCCGGTTAGAACCCCCACAATATTCTGAAGGGCCGTCGCCATTCAATTGTGCCATTGTGAAAGACATGAATGAACATATTATTTTGAATTCTTAGTTTTTATGTATCATAGTAATGTGTTAAGTTTCCCTGCCTAGTGAGGAAATTATGTTTATACAACAGATAATCAAATGATCCAATTTTCTCAGGATAGATGTACAGCTTATAATTTCACATGTTTTCTCTATTTTTTGTACATTTACTGGAAAAGTTCCAAATTCTTTAAAAGTGATCTCAGGAAACAGTTTCTTTGGGGGACGGCCAGAAAACGGACTGATAGACACTCTAAGGATAAATCTTTAAACTTCCCTGATTATTATCTTAACATTCTTAAACTAAAGAGAATAAAAACTCTTGAAATAAAAAATGCTAGACTTAAAAGAACAATTATATTAATTATCTTAAATTTAATTTACAGAAACAAAGAAGACAAGAACCGGTTGAACCGGATGATGCTCCCCGAGGTTTTTGACACAGGAAAGTATATAAAAATGAACAAAGGGCAAAAACTCCAAAATAAGGCAAGGCGGTGTTTTTTTGCACTTCTATTCAATGAGATCTATCTATCTATAAAGTTTCCTGATGATATGTCTTATAGTTTCAGAGTTATGTCCCGGGTAAAATTCAAAGTGTAAGAATGAACAAAGGGCAATAACTCCAAAATTAGACAAGGCTTTGTTTAGGTTCTTTAAGCATTGCAGTTCTATCCAATGATATCTATCTACCTACAAAGTTTCATGTTGATATCTCTAATAGTTTTAGAGTTATGTCCCGGACAAAAGTCAAAAAGTAAAAGTAAACAAAGGGCAATAACTTCAAAATAAGGCAAGGCAGAGTTATGATTTTTTAGCACTGCACTTCTACCCAATGAGACCTATCTATCTACAAAGTTTCATGTTGATATCTCTTATAATTTTAGAGAAATGTCCCAGACAAAGTTCAAAGTGTCAAAATGAACAAAGGGCAATAACTCCAAAATTAGGCAAGACAGAGTTACGGTTCTTGTGCACTGCAAACCTACTTAATGAGATCTATCTACCTACAAAGTTTCATGTTGATACCTCTTATAGTTTTAGAGTTATGTCCCGGACAAAGTTCAAAGTGTGAAAATAAACAAAGGGGAATAATTCAAAACTTAGGCAAGGCAGAGTTACGGTTCTTGCGCACTGCACACCTACTCAATGAGATCTATCTACCTACAAAGTTTCATGTTGATACCTCTTATAGTTTTAGAGTTATGTTCCGGAAAAAGTTTAAAAAGTAAAAATAAACAAATGTAAATAATTCAAAAATTAGGCAAGACAGAGTTACGGTTCTTGTGCACTGCACACCTACTTAATGACATCTATCTACCAACAAAGTTTCATGTTGATACCTCTTATAGTTTTAGAGTTATGTCCCGGACAAAGTTCAAATTGTAAAAAAAACAAAGGGCGATAATTAAAATATTAGACAAGGCAGAGTGCGGTTCTTATGTACTGCACTTCTTCTGAATGAGATCTATCTACCTACAAAGTTTCATGTTGATACCTCTTATAGTTTTAGAGTTATGTCCCGGACAAAGTTCAAAAAGTAAAAATAAACAAAGGGGGATAATTCAAAAATTAGGCAAGGCAGAGTTACGGTTCTTATGCACTGCACACCTACTCAATGAGATACATCTACCTACAAAGTTTCATGTTGATACCTCTTGTTGTTTCAAAGTTATGTCCCGGACAAAAAAGCGGACGGACGGACAGACGGAAAGACGGACGGACGGACGGACAAGGCGGCGACTATATGCTCACCCGAATTTTTTTGGGGAGCATAAAAAGTGAAAAATCACAATTTTCAAATATATCATTTATAGTTATAAAGAAGAAAATATAAAAAATGTAGTACAAGTTTCAAATAAATTTCAAGTTCAAAACAAAAATAATCAATGAAACTCAGGCGCTAGACTTATAAATCTAATCACATATGAGGTAGTTTTGATAATGAACATATATTTTGAATTTAAAGTAAATCTATGAAGTAATAAGAAAGTAAAAAAATAAATAAGAAAAAATCAAAGATTAAGGAGAAGTTAAATCTTAGAATATGAACGCTAGTCATACTAGGAACTCCACTGAGGTCTAAAATCCTGAAAATATAAAATTTATATTTCTTTCATAGACCGGTAGGGGTTCTTAAAACAGTAAGATATTCAAACGATTAGTTAGTAATATTTTCAGAAATAAATTGAAAATTGTAATTTTGTGCTGTTCTTAGCCAGATTAGTGTAAAAAGCGTTGTAACGTTTTTCAATTTTGGCTATTTTTTACAATGAGAATATTTATTCTGGAAAAACTGAGTGAGCGAATCATCTGAAATTTCGCACACATGTAATTGGTCTAAACCTTCATCAGATGGAACATTAATCTAGAAAAATGTATACAGCCCTGTCATGTCATAAAAAAAACTCAGTGGAGTTCCTTCATATAAGGTGTGGGAATTTAAAGTAAATCTTTTAAGAAATGAAAAAGTTTGATTAAAAAATAATAATTTCTAGAAAAAGTTCTAAGTTCAATGCGGAAATTATTCTTATAGTCAAGCTATAGTATTGAATCGTTTTACTCATGATTTGAGTGATAACAACACACATATATCATATATTTGAAGTTTGAAATAGATACATTAAGAAATAGAGAAGTTATAAAAAATATTTTTTCATGAAAATTTTTAACTTAAAAAGGGAGGGGGGATTCTAATAATATTGAGTTGTGAGCCTTCTTACAAATGATGTGGTGGATGATCAAAAACACATATTTGAAGTTTGAAGCAAATAAAGAACTTGTAGTAGATTAAACTGTGTAAAAACTTTAATCAGAAATCTAGACGCGATCGCGGACGCTACGTGAGTAGGACAACTCTCAATATACCCTCTAAAGTCGAGCTAAAATGATGTGCTTAAAATGAAGTGCATTATCTCCATACTGCCATTTATTCATTTTACAATTTTCATTAAAATACATGTATTTCAGTACTTATTGCTTTATCACAAATATTGTTATATTTGCCATAGTTAAGTCTGTTTGTTGCCATAGCAGCCAAATATTCAACATAGGAAAAAAAATGTGCATAATCTCCAGACTGCCATCTACCTATATTTCAAGTTTCATTGTGTCATCACGGGATTCAGTTTTTGTGTAAAATTTGCCATAGTTTAAGTCTAATTGTTACCATAACAACAACATTTTTCAACATAAAAAGAAAAAAAATGGTACATTATCTCCAGACTGCAATTTACCCAAATATCAAGTTTCATAAAACTATTTCAGTGTTTTTGCATTATCACGGTATTCAATTTTGTGGACGGACAGACTTGCTGACGAACGAAGTGTAAACCTAAAGTCCCATCCGGTTAAATCGGTAAGGCACTAATAAAATGATAGAAAAATAAATCAAAATTAGGTAACTGACCTCAACCAGCTTAAAAATAAGTTTGCTAAGACAAATAAACAAGCTATTACCCAAACTCAAGGTAAATCCACCAAGAAGTGATTGTACAGCTACAGTTTTAGCCCGGCCACTTTGAAATGTGTCCAAAAGTGTAATGTAGAAAGTCGCAAATTGAAACACTATGCCGAGTTCAAAGAAAGCATTCATTACACAGAGAACAAACAACAAGTTCCTGGTGGTACTGGAAAAAAACAATTATTAATTGTAGGATGTACATAACAGTTTATTTGAAGATGTCATATCGAATGTTCGTAGACTTTATAAAGAAGCAACAACAAAAATGGTAAAATAATATTTATAACAAAAGTAGTTGATCAAGGTCTAACAAATATAACAGTTACTTATGAAATTTCTCCTAAAAAGCAAATGATTTTCGCGAAGGACGCATCCTTAGGCGGACAGAAACTTTGCAACATAAATATTTAAGCAAACATATTCATACAAATAACATCGAAGAGAATCGTACCCATGTCATGCATATTATGTCGGTGATGTAACAAAAATCACGTTTCAGTTTGAACGAAAAGACAAAAAAACTAAGTAAAGAAGCAACCGAGTTACACCAACAGATAAAGTAGGACGACTATTAATACAATCATTATTTTATAACTGGTCTGTTATTGGGAATATATGCTCCAATATTTGCTTTTCGTGATAATTTTTAGGTTCAGACAAGGAAGGTCAACTTATATCTTCAACTGACTAAATGAATTCTTGAAGTTTTAGCACATCAGCTTTCGATATATTTCAGTCGATAACAATACTATTTACACGAATATGACTTTAGTTTTGGTATAAGTAAATTATCCACAGTTATATTGAAACTTATCCCTGCATGCTATATCTTATCGGGTTTATTTGTAGCCACATAAATTTCATTGCTACCGCTATCATAAATTAAGGAAATAATTTACCAAATCTTATATTATCATTACTTCGATTTAGTATCATTTAAACACTTCTACGATGAAGGATTAGCAAGTCTGATTTTTTATGGAGATGTGATTTAAAAACTTCGTACGATCTTGGGTCACGATAATTTTTCTGCAGTCTTTAAAAAAATTGTTAAACGTTTTATTAAAAGAGGTTTGTATGACCCTACTTTTTAAGGCATAGAGGTGACATGTGTGTGTGTTTCTATTTATCTCGTGCGCACGAGATTCTATGTCGTGGCCACAGTTATTAAGTCGTGGGTACGAGATAATTAAGTCGTGAGGACGAGATACTATGTCGTGCGCATGGGATAAATAAATCGTACGCACGAGATACTATGTCGTGGCAACCAGTTACTAAGTCGTGCACACGAGATAATTAAGTCTAGGGCATGAGACACTATGTCGTGGCCACGAGTTACTAAGCCATGGAAGCGAGATAATTAGGTCGTGACCACGAGTTACTCAGTCGTGGCTACGAGTTACTTTGTCGTGGCAACGAGTTACTTTGTCGTGGCAGCGAGATAATAAAGACGTGGCCACGAGATACAATGTCATGACCACGAGATACTTAGTGGCTACGAGTTATATCTCGTGCTCACGAGTTACTTAGTCGTGGAAACGAGATGATTAAGTCGTAACCACGACATAGTATCTCGTGCCCACGAGTTACTAAGTGGTGGCCATGAGTTACTAGGTCGTGGGAACGACACTTAATAACTTGTGGCCATGACATAGTATCCTATTGCACCACTTAATTATCTCGTGCGCACGACTTAGTAACATGTAACCACACATAGTATTTAATGCGCACCACTTTATTATCTTGTGCCCACGACTTGGTAACTCGTGTCCAAGACAAAGTATCACGTGAGCACCACTTCCACTTAATTATTTCGTGCGCAAGAATTAGAAACTTGTGTACGTCATGGTACCTCGTGCGCTGGAGATAAATAAAAAAAACACACACACACACATGTCACTTCTGTGCCACCGTACAAACCGCATGCTTAGCGTTCAACCCTAATACAGTTGGACCGCTTGGTAACATCTGGAAGACCAATTGAGAGACTTTGTAATGGACAGTTCGTAAAACCGATCGGGACTGAATTTTCGTCTTCTGCCATTCTTTCTTCGAGCCGTTGTTATGCGATTTTCTTTCTGCTCTGTCATTTTTTAAGACATTGAGTACTTTTGTCACGGTCACTGGGTTATTTTTTTTATATGTATCTATATGATAATTTGTGTTTTACTTCAGGGATTCTGTTTTTCTGTATTTTATTGCCACATCAGTGTTATAAGTGCCGTATTGAGGCCGTAAAAAGTCGCCCCGTACATATAATCAAAGCTGTTATATTTTTTAATCCTTGAAGATTGTCTAGTACAGTGAGTTGGCCAATAACGGGTCACTAGCGAAACTTTTAGTGTTTATGAACGAACGATTTTTAGATTTATATATAAATGTATGATGATAAGAAGTATTTTTATTCCCCTTTTACTGTATACTTCTTGTGAATTCATATTTTGAATGCATCGTGGTGCATTTACCGTTTCCAAACCCTTTGTAAACATGCCAATAGCGGGTCAAATCGGCCATTAGCGGGTCACGTGATAAACGAACGGGGGGTTTTCTCAAAACATTAATTATCTGTCAAATTCTTCCCTTAACCAGGAAAATATTACACAACTATGTGTTACCGCTGAGTATTAAAGTGAAAAGGGTACCAATAAGTAAAGAATCCAAGTGGCAGCTGCATGATTGTGGTAAAAACAATAATGATTGTAATAATGCTGATCTAGATATCTGCTCAATGAATTGTAAATTGTGTAGATAACATATTTATTTCATTTTCAGGGTTACAGGGGACAAAGCAGCTCATCGAAGCAATTTTGTGCACATTCTATGTAAAATTCCATTTAATTAACTGTAACACAAGTCTCTTGTTGTGAATCAAAAGGTTAAAATGCAGTCTCAAGAAATTTGCATGTTCTTCTATGTGGTCATTATGAGGATACACTTTCTAAGAATAACAAACAAACAAAATTGTCAACTGATTTTCTCTTATTGAGTACACTCTGTGATATAAACAAATAAAATTATAATAAAATACATGTAATGATGTAAAACAATATTGACTACATCATTTAACAATACTGACTTGGTTCAACGTCAAACCTAAAAAAAAACACATGTGAATAATGTTTAACAATATTGACTAGATCATTAAACAATACTGACTTGGTTCAAAGTCAAACCTAAAGAAAAACCCATGTAATTATGTAAAACAAAATTGACTCGATCATTAAACAATACTGACTTGGTTCAACGTCAAACCTAAAAAAACCAAAACATTTAATTATGTAAAACAATATTGACTTGGTTCAATGTCAAACCTAAAAAAATACATGTAATGATGTAAAACAATATTGACTAGATTATTAAACAATACTTGCTTGGTTAAATTATGAATTTTCAGTCATTTACAGGCACATTATGTGTATGAAAGATTAATAATTCTGTCGAAAGTGCAAAAATGAGTTTAAATATGTTGTAATATGGATTTATATCATATGAGATGCTTATCATCTGATAAAAATACCTTTGAATATAAAATCATTGTGATAAAGCAAGTAAATTAATACAAAATACCAATTAACTTTTACTGAACTAAACCTAAGCAAAAAGGAAACTAAAAATGGTTCAGAAATATGACCAATAAGTAACTTTTGGAAAGTGCAAAATGGACATTAAAAATAACTAAGCTTTGAAAAAATAAAGTGATAGCCTTAAAATAACAAGACTTTGAAAAAAATAATGATAGAATTGTTAGGCTGAATTGGCTTTTACAGAGTTGAAAATTTACACATGTTTATTCCTTGTTCAGTGTCATAGCAGGGCCTTCTGGGATTTTATCGAACATTACAGAAAGTTTTTGAAAATTACTCTCAATATCTGGGTGAAATATAATATAGTTGCATGGCAACACAACCCCACCACCTTCAGAACTTGGAGCCGGCCATGGTTGGAAACTCTGAGTGGGCTCACCGGTAACTTCAGCTTCGATATGTCCTTTGTCCATAATGGTACGAAAAAACCCCAGCTATCCCTCGTGGAACATGGCCAATTGGAAGTCCTGCTACATCTCGCAACCGTAGCTGGCGTTTTTGGTCAGTGACACTATCATGTAACAATGTTTGGAATGACTCAAGTGGCGGCAACCACACCAAGCAGGCATCAGTATCGTGGATATTTGTATATTCAGGCTCTACAGTTAGACATTCTGAGGCCAAAGCCTCTCTGGGCCATCTCACTTAACCACTCAGCCATAGATGTTTCTTCCTGTTCAGTGAAAACAGTAGCAGGACCTTTCATAGTGTTGATGTCTGTTTCCCCACTGTATCTCCTTTGCAAAAACCCGTATGACAGTCCATGGTCACATGCAGCTTTTCTTAGTGATATACTCTTGTTACTTACACTGTATAGGGCTCGTCTCACTCTCTGCACTTTCCCAGGACTCATTCGCTTCCCTCTGTATTTTTTACCACTGAGGAGGCTGCATTCTGGGCTGGACTACATTGAACACTTTTTCTCTTTCCCTTAGGCATTAGAATCTGAAACAATAAAACAAGTAAACAAATGAGCTTGTCATGTCATGATGTGAGTAATGACAAAGAACAATAACCAAAAGTCCGGGGGGGGGGGGGTGATTACAAAAATATTCATGCTAGAGTGATAAATCTATCACATGTGATGTGTGTGATAATAAGTAACAAACATTTGAAGATAAAAGTAGATACCACAAGAAATGAAGAAGTAATAATAATAATAATTTTAAACAAAATTCTAAGCTCTTCTGTAAAAAAATGTGTGCTAAAGTAATAAATTTTGTCAAACATCCTGTGGGTGATGATAAAAAACATGTATTTGAAGTTTAAAATGGATAACTTAAAAATAAAGAAGTTACTGTACAGTTAAAAATAATATTTTAGAATCTAGTCTAAAACAATAGTATTTCAATGTTGCAGCAGTTTATACTACACCATATTTTAGCATGGACTGCATAATTCACTTGCAATAATAACATAAATAAATTAAATTTTATATTTATTTGTATACAAACCAAAATTTGCTTTAGAAAATATTTTCTTAAACCTGTTGAATAACTTTGAGGCGGTCCCTTCCTGGACAAATTACATGACCCGCTATTGGGCAACGTGATGCAATTTAATTGACCAGCGCTATCACTAT